CTGGATGGCCCACCTGCAGGCCGATGCTGGGGCCAGGCACCTTCTGTGTAGTCATGGCACCATTCCCCGAGGAGTAGGATGCTCTTCCTGGAGCTTTTGCAGTCAATTGGCCAAACAGGAACGAGAAAGAACATGGAAGATAATTCAGGAGGTCCAGGGGCCAGGACTAAAGGAGGCCCACATCACTGCTGCCCACATGGCATTGGCTGGAATTAGTGCCAGGCCCCCACCAGGCGAGGGGGGATCGGAACACGTAGTCTTCCCGTGTGTGCCGTGGGAGGATGTGACGGTTTGAATACAAAACACTGCTGCTGCCACGATAGGCCCGGATCGTTTGTGCAGCCAGACAAAACAGCAGCTCCCCGCGATATTCCTCTGATGAGAGAGCTTCCCGGCACAATTGAAACAGCTCCATCTTAGAGACAGGTAACCAGGAGCCACTATAAAGAAGTGAGGGGGCCCTGGCCGGTTTGGCTCAGCGGTTAGAGCGTCGGCCTGCGGTACAGAGAGACCCGGGTTCGGTTCCCGCTAAGGGCATGTACCTCGGTTGCAGTTTGTCCCCGGCCCTGGTTGGTCGTGCAGGTGGCAGCCACTCGATGTGACCCTTCACATCGATGTTTCTCTCTCTCTCTCTTCCTCTCTCTCCCTCCCGCTCTATCTGAACAAAAAAATGGAAAAATGTTCGGGTGAGGATAAAAAAAAAAAAAAAAGAAGTGAGGGGTTTCTTCTTCCCTAAGAGTCTATGGCCTACCTAGTCTTGACCCAGGAATAAAATCTCCAGGAAGCCGTCATCCTTGGCTGGCCCTCTGGAAGATGGCAGGAGTGTGATGCCTGAATGATATACAGGCCCTGAGTCCTTGTTGCAGGTCGGATGACCCAGCCAAAGCAACTTCAGTTGTGGCCAGGGAGCCAGCCTGGGCAGCTGCTGAGGTCGCCTGCCTGCTGGGCAGCTTGCTGTGCGGATGCCCATCCTCCCTCCTCCTCTGACTCTCTGGTATCCACCCCATTCCTCACTTTCTACTTGTACTTTCCAGAATGTGTCCCTCCCAGCCAGAAAGCCTTGGAGACTCCCAAGAGGAGTCTAACACTCTAATACTCCTGCCTTTGTTGTCCCCACTTATGCGCCAAGGAATGCAGAGGAGCTGATCTCTTCCTGAAGCTCCTGCTGTGTGCTTCTCCTGCGGGAACTGAGCTCCTAGGAAGGGTTGCTCTGGGCTGGGCAGAGGCTGGGAGGGGCAGGAAGGGGCACTGGGAGCTTTGGCTTCACACTACTGCCTCCTTATTTGTTGGAGATGGATTCCCAGAATAGCAAACAACTAGACACACCCATATTTAAAGGTTAGCACCAAAGCATTCTGGACAAGAAATAAAACTGTAGTTGTGTTCAGATGGCTTGGATCATCTATTCATGCGAATAATGAGGAACTGGCAGGACTCAGACCCCAGGGCTGTGGGACTGTGACCAAACGTCCTGTGCCTGCTCCCTCTCTTGTTTATTTCTAACCCTGTTTAGTTTCTCTCCTCAGCTGAAAGGCTACATTCTCTCCAAATGACTGGAATGGGGGGTGGTCACTGCTCCCTCAGGCATGGGATTGGCAGCTCCCAACAGTGAGCCTTACTGAGGAAAAGGCAGTGTGTGGAAAGTGGTGTGGGGTTGCTGTGGGTGCTGGTGACAGTGGAGCCGGTCCTGGTGGTGGGATGGAAGCAGACGAGGCTGACAGAGCTGAAGCAAAGCGCAAGGCAGGAAGGTGGAACTAGAGGAAGGAGTGGGCTCCAAAGGCGGATCAGATGCGGACTGTGCTTTTAGCCACTGGTGCATTAACCACTGATGCCATTTGCTGCTTTCCTCCGAATCTCATTAAACCTCATTAAGCAACTGGAGACATTTTAGAGGAATCTACGAGAAAGAGAAACAATGGAAACGCTAGGGAAGGTTGATGTGACCTTCCCAGTGCAAAGTGTTTGAAAAGAGTCAGGGTCTAGAGAGTCAGGAAGCTGGAGCTGCTGGGCGGGGTTGCTGACAGAAGATTGATGCCTCTCCACACTCCCCCCTCCTTGCTCCCTTCCCAGTTTATTTCAAAGGAGAAAGTGGAAAACTCTTCAGTCTCCAAGGGGCTACTGTTCTGGCTGTCTTGACCTTTTCTGAGGAGTCTTGGATGAGACAGCATAGGTCCTGGAGCCTGTGTGACAAAGCAAAACAGAAGGGACTTTCCGCTCCTGTTGATATTTGAGGCGCAAGAGTGTTTATTTATATGGGTGTGTGTGTGGATGTTCGTGTGTTAATGCCCATGTACAGAATTACCTTCCTAGAGATTCAGTCCTGCTAATTAGCTGAGCTGTCCTGAATAATTTTTAAAAAGATGCGATTTTAATGAAGTCAAAAGTAATCTTAAAACTCCATTTAAAAGTTAACAATGTTAGGTCAAACAATTTTTGCTTCTACGAAACTCATATTCACATGCACACTCAAAGGATAAAGCTAAATCTCTTCAGATGGCACACATCTTTACCAGCTGAGATACGGTATTGTCTGCAGCTAGCTTTATTCCATAGTTTCTGTTACTTCTGTGTTGTCAAAGAAGAGACCACCAAAGAGGTAGCCATCATGTGAGTCCATGTGATGAAAAGGTTCGCAAAATCAATGAAATTACATTTGTCTCCCAGTATCTTTTAAACCAATAGTTCCATCTTCTTCCCCTTCTAAATTTACTGCTGAGACTAATGAAAAGTTAAAGAATTAACTCCTCTGGCTGTTTTCTCCTCCCTTTTCTCATCAGTGTCTGATGGAGATGCTGTAATTAGCAATGTAATGAGAAGTGAAGGGTAAACAAGAAGACTAATTCCCAGAACATGCAGTTAGGGGTTGAAGACCGGAACAGGAAAACCAGCCTGAGATGAAAATATTCTATATGCCTCACTACAGAGGGTCGTACTTAAAGCTCTATGCACAGGGGTTTCTAGGCAATGCATGAGGACACTGTTGGTGGCATTGCCTTCAGAGGAACAGCTTATACCTCAGTCTGGACACCTGTCGCTTTTCTCTCTGCCATGAAGGTTTGGTTCTCTGTTTATCTGAGACTCAAATCTAGAACTCTCTAATATTGGATATCTATTTCTACACACACCTTTTATTTTTTATTTTCTATTTTTTTTTTATCATCACCCGAGGACACTTTTGCATTTATCTTCAGATAAAGCGGGAGGGAGAGAGAGAGAGAAACATCGATGTGAGAGAGACGCATCGACTGGTTGCCACTCACACGACCCCTACTCGGCCGGGGACAAACTGCAACTGAGGTACGTGCCCCCAGTGAGAACCAAACCTGGGACTCTCTGGTCTGTGGGCCACCACTCCAATTGCTGAGCCAAACTGGCCAGGGCTCTACACACACCTTTTAAAGATAAATAATTGGCAATTAAGCTCGATTGGAAACTTAAAAATACAATAGAGTAGATTTAAAGGCTTCAGAGATAGAAGGCTCTTTGCATATCTAATGCTAGTCCAACACCCTCCTTCTGTTAATGAAGAGAGTGAGGCTGGGAGAGGTCAAGTTGTTCTGAGCCTAGGTTTAAAGGCAGGACTCCTGAGACCCAGCCCCTTGCTTTTTCTGGGGATTCAATGGACAAGGACATTTTTCTGCTGCATCTTTTTTTAAAAAATATTTTTACTTTATTGATTTTAGAGAGAGGAAAGGAGAGAGAGAGATAGAAACATTGATGAGAGAGACAATCGATTGGCTGCCTCCTACATGCCCCCCACTGGGGATCCAGCCCACAACCTGGTCATGTGCTCTGACCGGGAGTTGAACCGGTGACCTCTTGGTGCCTGGGTCAATGCTCAACCACTGAGCCACACCCACCAGGCTTTGCTGCATCTTTAAAACTGTGTAAGAATTGCTCCCCATGACAGTTCCTGAAGTGCTTGTGACTGTTCATTACTTTTTCTCCCTATTCTGGTGTTTAAAGAAGTAACTCCCTTTTCTTAGTCAACTAGAATATTCCAACCTGACACCCCATTTGCAACCACTAAGAAGGAAGGGAGAGGGCCTATTCATGTCCTGCACTCAGAGCACTGCCATTGCCTGCCTCAGTTCTAAGTGGAAATCAGCTAGTCTCAGGCCAGGTCACAGGCTTCACAATGCAGTGTGTGTGTCTTCCATTTTCATTGTGTGTGTGTGTGTGTGTTTTAAATCCTCACCTGAAGATATCTTTCCATTTATCTTCAGAGAGCGTGGAGGGGGCAGGGGGAGAAACATTGATATGATAGAGACACACCGATTGGTTGCCTCCCTCAAGACCCTGACCAGGGTTGGGGACCAAACCGCAACCGAGGTATGTGCCCTTGACCAGAATCGAACCTGAGACTTTGGTCTGCGGGCCGAAGCTCTAATCACTGAGCAACTGGTCAGGGCTCATTGTGTGTTTTAGATAAAGTCCACTTCAAGTGCAACATGTCTAAGCATTTACTTTATGTCCCTTCAATTATTACCTATAATAATATTCTTAGGCTTGCTTGGTTTATGCCGTTGGGGGAAATTAAATTTGCAAGTGGTTCACGTGTCAATTACTGTAATAGCTATTTTTGGTATTGGCGATGAAACAAGTGTTTCAGAAACCACCTTCAGATATAAAAATATTAAAATCCTGTTACAAAGATGATGGAATTAAAAGTAAAGAAATAATCAGGATCACTGGAGCTCTTTTCTCCTATTACCAGTGACGGTAAGGGCTAACCCAATCGCCTAAAACCCATCGGACCACATGTCTCATTTTGAGTAACGTCAGGGAAAGAGTCAGAAAAAGCAGATTTTATTGCTGCAACATCTTTATTTCTAAAGTGCAATTTTTCATATTTCTTAATTGTTTACTTTTTCCTTCCTGACACACAAACGAAATCTAAATTATATTCATACATTAACAGACCCTCTCACTATTCTGTAAATGAGACTTCTAGTGTGAAATCATTCATGTAAACTGTATTTTTTTTTTTTGTCTTTCAGAACAAGGAAAAAGCAATCTGCATGTAACATCATTAGAAGATGCAGAATGTCGCAGAACCAAGGAACGCCTTTCTAATGGGAGTAGTCGAGTTTCAGTCTCCAAGGCTTCCCGGAGTATCCCAAGGAGACACACCTTAGGTGGGCCTCGAAGTTCCAAAGAAATACTGGGAATGCAAACATCTGAGATGGATAGGAAGAGAGAAGCTTTCCTGGAACATCTAAAGCAGAAATATCCCCATCATGCCACAGCAATCATGGGCCACCAGGAGAGGTTGAGAGACCAGGTATGGGTGTGCTACCATTTCACTCTGCAAAGCTCATTCTTTAACGAACATGAATGCAAAGTGACCTTTGGTTTAAAAGGGAAACAGTAGTTGAGTGGACTGTGCCCACCACTGAGTTGTACCAGATCTCAAGAAGAGGGATCCAGAGACTGGGCAGTTCCCCCAAACGAGGGTCAACCACAAATACATCTGAAGTGCAGGCAATGAAGGGTATTACTTGGCTGAGCAAAGCATAGGGTCAACTGCTGTGCACCCCGTTGGCACTGAGTGCTTGGCACAGCGAATGAATGAACAGATAAATACATTTTCCAGGTAAAACAGCATAGAGGGATACACTTGTGATGAACCCCTTTTCCTTGAGAAGCTAACATTAGGGTTTTGTTTCTGCTCACTTTTTTTTCTTTTTATTCACACACATTTTCTGTTCAAATGCTTGGCTTTCTGCTGTCTTCAGCTACCTGTTTTCTCAGGTTATCTTGACAGCCAGACAGATATCACCCACCTGTGGCTCGGGGTGTTTTTGTCTCTTGGCTGTGTGCAATTACTTTCTAGCCAGCAGGAGCTGGGAGGCCTCCTCTGCCGACCTCCCAGGCATGTTATCAGATTGACCTTTCAGGATGGGGAACACAGCTGAAGACGCAGAGCACTCAGTGATTTGGGTGGTCAGGGAGGAGGGCAGACTGTTACTGATGTCAACACTCCAAGTAGAGAGGCAAGTCGGCTATCTTGCCAGTTAGTTACAAAAGTGATGTCTAACTAACTCAGCTTTTGAGCAGCCACAAGGGTGGACATTATCATTAGCTGAATAATTTAAACCTCAATTTATCCTCAATTTCATTTTTTCCCTTAAATTCAACCTTCTGTTCTATGAAATCTTTATCAGAGTGCTAAAGCTGTGACATGCACCTGAGGGGCTGCGTGTTTGCGTTTCGTTCACATTGCCAAGGGCAGTAGACGTAGAGAGAAAGAAGCAGGAGTCCTGCTGATGCAGAGATGTGCGCACTACTTCTTTGGTAATTACGTAAAGGGAGGCTGTCACCTCCGAGCTCATACGGGTTGGGATCCAGACCACTGCAATAAATCGAGTCATAATCTTTTTGCTGATAAAGGGTCTTGTCTTCCATTTGTTATCAGCACATCTGTCAAGAGCAATAAAGTGAAGCACAGCGAGACGAGGTGTGTCTGCCTATGGAAAATACCCGTTTTGTATTTTTAAATTGTATTTATTTCTTTTTTACTTTTCCTGGTTTTATTGAGATATAATTGACATACAACAAAAACACTCCTGTTTTCTATTGACCATAGAATCACAGTCCATTTAAGTAATGGAATCGGCACCTGTCCCTGTGTCACTTTTTGTGAGACACCATATTTTATACAAGCAGTTCAGTGAGGAGACTCAAGCTCAGAGAACTTTCGATTACACTATTTGCTCAGGAAAAGTTGAAATTTGAATCCAGATAAGTCTGAGCTGAGAATCCTTGTTTATTCCACTATTTTGTACGTTGAAGATCATTGACTAGAGAAAAGCTAATATGGTCTGTACATGGGATGTAAGGGTCATGGTGTGAGGGTATGCGTGCACACATGCGTGTCTGGGGACCAGTCAGGGTGAAGCAGGCTAGAAAACTGATGATGTGTTGAGTGAGGAGGGATAATATTTTTTAAAGTTAAAATATATTAACTTTGCCATAAAATATAGAAGTTGGTCTGTCAAAAATGGTGTGTTTTCCATGTCAAAAATATTCCAGTTATCATTACTGTTATTATTTGTGACGTCATGATTATTACTACTACTATGATGATGGTGGTTTTAGTTAAAACAATTACATGGGGAACCTAAAAGAAACTAGAAGCTTGTACAGGGCCCATTATGTCAGATGACAGGGAATAATGAATGTAGGTTGGTGGCCTCAAGCTCTGCTGTCTTATTACATGCATCTCTGCCCTAGGTGTAGTCCAGCCATGGCTGGTCAGCTGTACCTTTGCTGGGAATTCAGGGTGAAGTTTTGTGTATTCCAAGCTGACCATCCAAAAGGGGAAAGATTTGAATGCCTTGATCTGTGTATACATTTTTTATTCCCCTGCTTTGTTGCAAATGAATCCTAATCAACACTGTAGACATCAGAGATACACTCAGGCAATGGTGTATTATAATTCTTTTTTTTTCCTTTATTGATTTTAGAGAGAGAGGAAGTGAGAGGGAGAGAAAGATAGAAACATCAATGAGAGAGAACATCGATTGGCCACCTTCTGCATGCCCCCCACTGGGCACGTGTCCTGACCAGGAATTGAACCGGCGACCTCTTGGTGCATGGGTCGATGCTCAGCCACTGAGCCACACGGCCGATAATTCTTATTAACAACACTTTATCTAACGCCTTTTCCATTCTTTTTCTCTTGCCACCCATTTGCTTCCCCATTCCTTCCCTCTTCTCCCTGACACCCTTTGTTTCTCCCTGGCCTTCTAACAATAGGTTACTCCAGGCTTCCTTTGCAGGAAGGTACATGACCAGCCATAAGGAAGAATTCAGATAGCACAAGTCTGGTGCACTTCTCCAGATTCTAAACACCGTGTTCTCTTCTGGAGGCTGTTTTCCTGGCAGCCACCTAGACACGTGCCTTAGCGAGAAGGGTGCCATTGAGGGAGATCAAGAATAAGATGTTGAAAATGCTGTATCTAGCACCCTACACAAAATATTTTTTTTTAATTTTATTGCATTTATTATCACAGTGACATTGGTTAATAAAATTATATAGGTTTCAAGTGTACAATTCTATAATGAATCATCTGTATATTGTATTGTGTGTTCACTACCCAAAATCAAGTTTCCATCCATCATTATTTATCCCCATTCGACTCCCTTCTCCTCTCTTTGTTATCAGTGGGGTGCCCTTTGTGTCCCCACCTGTTGCCCTGGAAGTGGAATTCTTGTGATGTTGCAAGGAGAACAATTTTCTGAGACTCGCACGGAAGGATGAGTGATATTTATTTCTGTGAAATTAAACCCATGGGTTTCTAAGGTCCCATTTCCTCCATCCCGCCATAAAAAAAAGTGCAATCTTGTTCCCAGCAGTGCTAGGATTAAAGCCACTGCCCAGAGTTTCCTCCCCCTGTTAAAGCACAGCCCAGTCCAGCATCTGGCAGGTTTAGCTTGTGTTCCCAGCTGCAGTCCATTGTGTGTGGCTGCTTAAGGCCCACAGCAGGCTGGTGTGGGTCACCCAGCAAGAGAATGCAAGAGAGCAGGAGCATGAGGGAGGGAGGGAGAGAGAAAGAAAGAGAGAGAGAACTCTCCTCTCAGGGTTATAACTAGGAGTTTAACCAACCAAACCTTCAGGAATTTACATGCCTGCAGTGGCTCCACCCCTCTGGCCAGTTATCTTTTTCCCAGGTTAGATTGACAGGCAAGCACCTTCCCTACATCACCTAACTTCACAGTGCATGTGCCCTTCTTCTGCTTTGTCAGACCCCTTCTCCCATTGATTTGCAGAGAATAGATCAGTGGTTCTCTGGGGCTCATGAAGTTCCAGCTTCCTGATGAAGCTGCCCAGATGACCATGCTTATAATGTCTGTTCTTCCCTTTGCTCTATTCCTATTAGTAATATTAATAATGGGCTAATATGACAATAACACCCCCTTCCACTTTCCCTCTGGTAATCACCAGGTTGTTGTCTGTGTCTGTGAGTTTTTTTGCTTAATCCCTTCACCTTTTTCAACCATTACACAGAATATTTTGATACTAAGGGAATCTAGGTTCTAATTCCTTGGTATTATACATAAGGATAATTAGAGCACAACTTATATTTTGAAATTTGAATTTAAACACTGGAAGATTCGTGGTTGAAAACTTATATTCGAGTCTTTGAAATTCAGTCAATCAAGAATTTCCTAAGGTCTAAATTATTGGAAAGCAGACAGGTTTCCTTCCACTGTCTTAAAAAAAAGTAGATGACCATTATTGCATTATAACACTTATCTGCAAAATAGTAGCTGTCATTAATTCTGACTCCCCCAACATTCACACAGGGCAACAGACTGATGATCTGTCACCTGGCCTAAGGCCTTGGAGTCAGTCAGGAGGGAGTTGGGAATCCAGCCCCTATTCATGTGCTAATTGTGTAATTTGTAGCTAATGACTTGAAATCTCCTTTGTCTCAGTTCCCTCATTTGTCAAAAGACAATAATAACTATATCAGAGTACTGAGGAAGAAAATGATGGATCCTCTTACTGTTACAATGGCAGCTCTTAGCATTACCATAGTATGGTGTCCAGAAGAGTCTCAGGCTCTATTGTCAAATTACTATTTAAATTCATTTTCCTTTTTTATTAACATATTTTAGTTACCTGAATACGTTTATTTTTCCTACTCACGGAACAAAATTGTATTATATTTCTGAAACTTACTTGTGTTTTTTATTTGTCATGAAATGCTTAACATTTGTATTTCTTTTATTTATTCTATATATGTTTATTTGGCACCTACAATAATAAAGACATTGTGAGGGATACAAACAATGAGGCATGGCCCCTGCCTTCAAATCAGTAAAAGAAATATGACATTCCTGTACTCAGACTAATCTGTCAAGGTCGAGCCCAATGTCACACCTTGTGAGCTTCTCATAACATCTTGCAGTACCTATTCTGTGGCCTTTCATCGTGCCTTTATTGTACACTTCTTTATGTTTCTTTCTTTCATCTAGTATTATGGTTTTAGAGGACCAAAACTTTGTCTTAATCATTTTTGTAAACACAGCAATTAAGGGAGTACACAACCTAAACTAGGCGTGATTAATTTTTATTGTTGCATGAATGAGCCAATATTTTTAATACAGTTAGACAGTGATAGATGACGTTTGAGTGGTATAGATGGAGGGGGTGGGCATCCAAGAATTGAGATTGGTTGCAGTTTGGGCAATCCGAAGAGATTGAGGCTAAGAAGCTAAGAAAGGCTGAATGATTTCCCTCACGTCAAGAAGCCATCATTTGAACCAAGGTCA